TGGGTGAGACAGTTGATTGGCTTGATCTGTTTGGGAGGCATCCAGGCAGTGGGACTGGGTCCTGTGCTCATTGCATGAGTTGGCTGTTTGAAACCTGGGGCCTATGCAGGATCACTTGGCTCGGCCTGGGAGGAGGGGACTGGACCTACCTGGACTGAGTCTACCAGGTTGATCTCAGTCTGTGGGGAAGGCTTTGCCCTGGAGGAGGTGGGAATGGGGGGGGTGGGCTGGGGAGAAGGTGAGGCGGGTGGGAAGGGGGAGAACAAGGGAATCCGTGGCTGATATGTAGAACTGAATTGTATTGCAAAAAAAAAAACTTTCAAAACTTTTGCTTAACATTGGTATACTAAGTCAAAGAAAGGTTAGTTCTCTGATCCAATACTACAGCACTAAGTGCAAGTATAGCTAGCATTGAAGTTTCCACACTCTAGCCCCAGATACAATCTTCACCCAAGACCACACAGGGTAAGTGGGAGAACAGCATCTCAGCCTAGACCTTCTGTATACATAGTGTCACCAACGTGGCCTGCTTCATAGGGAGAAAGTGATAGTTTTTAGAAAGCTCATTGATGAGGGTGATGGTGATAAGAAGGAACATTCCTTCTGCTCTCCAGGCACCAAATGATAAAACCTTCTGTCAATTCTGTAGCAAAGGAGATCATTATTCCCAGCATCTCTTTCCAGACCAGGCAACCACTAACATGTTTCTAGCATTTCACAGACTATCCTGAGTTATTTTTCCAACTCTTTAAAAAGTTCCTGATGAAAACAGACTCTTTCCCATAGGAGCAATCAATTGCAGAAGTTCCTCAGGTAATGATGGAACTGCACAGAGCCTGCCAACACTGGTTGGACTAAGGTGAATCTTTGTTCCCCTAGCCTATCAGCTCAACCTCTAGGATTTGGGTCCAGGGGCACAACCCCTGGGACCCACACCACTGCCCATGGCAGACCTAGTCTCAGGCCAGCAGGCAGGTCTCCTGCAAGCAGGCCAGACTACCACCATCCCCCAACCCACCCTCCAAACCCACCAACACTCCAAGACCACAGCTTCTCCCTGAGACAGAGCCCACCAGAGCCCATAGGACTAAGAGGACCAACAGCTCTGACTGGAGGAAGAGAGGCCCCCTCAGACACTGACACTACATAGACCAAGTGGAGGAAGAAACAGGCAGATGCTGGTGCAAAAATACAATCAGAAACATAAAAACAAATATGATACCACCAAAACCTAGTGGTTGTACATCAGCAAGAACTGAACATCCCAATGCAGAAGAAGCAGAAGAAATCAACCTTAAAAATTACTTTAACAAGATGATAGAGGCCTTCAAAGAGAAAATGAAAAATTCCCTTAAAGAAATTGAGGAAAGGACAAACAAAAATTTGAAAGAAATTGAAAATTCCTTAAAGAAAGCCAAAAAACAAAGAAAAAGCAATTAAACAGGTGAAGGAAACAGTTTAAGATTTAAAAACTGAAATAATGACAATAAAGAAGACACAAATTGAAGGAATGTTGGAAATTGAAAATCTGAGTAAATGAACAGGAACTACAGATACAAGCATAACCAACAGAATGCAAGAGATGGAAAAGAGAATTTCTGGCATTGAAGATATGATAAATGAAATAGATTTGTCAGTCAAAGAAAATATTAAAGCCAACAAGTCATAACACAAAATGTATAGGTAATCTGGGACACTATGAGAAGACCAAACCTAAGAATAATAGGGATAAAAGAAGGATAAGAATACCAGCACAGAAAATATATTCAACAAAATCACAGAAAAAACCTTTCCCAACCTAAAGAAGGTAATGCCTATGAAGATACAAGAAGCTTACAGAACATCAAATAGACTTGATCCAAAGAAAGTCCCCTCGCAATATAATAATCAAACCACTAAATATACAGAATAAACAAAAAATATTAAGAGTTGCAAAGTAAAAAAGCCAAGTAACATTCAAAGGCAGATCCATTAGAATAACACCTGACTTCTCAATGGAGTCTCTGAAAGCCAGAAGGTCCTGGACAGACATTATGCAGACACTAAGAACCATGGATGCCAACCCAGACTACTATACCCAGCAAAACTCTTAATCTCCACAGAGGGAGTAAATAAAATATTCCAAGATAAAACTGAACTTTCAATACCTTTCCACAAATCCAGCCCTACAGAAAGCACTAGAAGGGAAAATCCAACCTAAGGAAGTCAGATACACCCACGAAAACACAGGCAAGAGATAGTTACACACCAACAAATACCAAAGAAGGGAAACACACAACACTACCACCAAAAAATTACAGGAATTAACAATCACTGGTCACCAATACCCTTTAATATAAATGGATTCAATTTACTTCTAAAAAGACACAGGCTAACAGAAGGATACAAAACAGAATTTGTCCTTCGGCTGCATACAAGAAACACAATTAAACTTCAAAGACAGACACTACCTCAGAGCAAAAGGCCGGGAAAAGACATTCCAACCAAATGGACTCAAGCTAGCTGGTGTAGTTATCCTAATATCTAATAGACTTCAAACTAAAATCAACTGAAAGAGGTTGGGAAAGACATTACATATGCATCACAAGAAAAATCCATCAAGATGAAGTCTCACTTCTGAACATTTATGTCCAAATGCAAGGGCATACACATTTGTAAAACAATCATTACTAAAGCTTAAACCACATATCAAACCCCACACGCTAGGAGTGGGAGACTTCCACTCCTCACTCTCAACAATGGACAGATCTGCCAGACAGAAACTTAACAGAAAAAATAAGGGAACTGACAGATGCTGTGTCTCAAATGGACTTAGTTGGTATCTAAAGAATAATCCACCCTAACACAAAAGAATATACATTCTTCTCAGTACCCCCATGGAACCTTCTTTAAAATAGACCAGATACTTGGTAACAAAGCAAATCTCAAAAGATACAAAAAATTGGAATAACCTCCTGTATTCTATCAGACTACCATGGCTTAAAGTTAGAGTTCAACAACAAAAATTACAGAAAGCCTACAATCTCATGGAAACTGAAAAATGCTCAACTAAATCACCAATGGGTTAAGGAAGAAATAAAGAAAGAAATTGAAGACTTCCTAAAGATCAATGAAAATGAATGTACTACATACCCAGACTTTGGGACAGTATGAAAGTAGTGCTAAGAGGGAAAATTCATAGCACTAAATGCCCACATAAAGAAGTTGGAGATATCTCACAGTAGTGACTTAACAGCACACCTGAAAGCTCTAGGAGAAGAAGCAAAGTCACCCAGGAGAAAAGATGCCAGGAATAAATCAAATTGAAGAGCTGACAACAATAAAAAGAAAAAAAGAGAACAATACAAAAAATCAATAAAACAAAGAATTGGTTCTTTGAGAAAACCAACAAGATAGACAAGTCCTTATCCAGACTAACCAAAAGGCAGAGAGAGAGCATCCAAATTAGCAAAATCAGAAATGAAAAGGGAGACATAACAACAGACAACGAGGAAATCCAGAGAATGATCAGGTCATACTTCAAAAAACTGTACTCCACAAAATTGTAAAATTTAAAAGAAATGGACAATTTTCTGGGTAGGTACCACATACCTAAGTTAAATCAAGACCAGATAAACTATGTAAATAGACCAATAAACCCTAAGGAAATAGAAACAGTCATCAAAAGTCTCCTAACCAAAAAAAGTCCAGGACCAGATAGTTTCAATGCAGAATTATACCAGATCTTCAAAGAAAAGCTAATACCAATACTCTTTAAATTGTTCCACACAATGGAAACAGAAGGAATATTACCAAACTCCTTTTATGAGGCTACAGTTACTCTGCTACCCAAACCAAACAAAGATGCAACAAAGAAAGAGAATTACAGACCAATCTCCCTCATGAACACTGATGCAAAACCACTCAATAAAATATTGGCAAAAGGACTCCAAGAACACATCAAAACAATTATCCACCTTGATCAAGCAGGCTTCATCCCAGAGATGCAAGGTTGGTTCAACATACAAAAGTCCTTCAATGTAATACACAATATAAACAAACTGAAAGAAAAAAACCACTTGATCATTGTATTAGATGCTGAAAAGGCCTTTGACAAAATCCAACAACCCTTCATGATAAGGACTTGGAGAGATCAGGAATACAGGTAACATACCTAAACATAATAAAGGCAATTTATAGCAAGCCAACAGCCATAATCAAATTAAATGTAGAGAAACTCAAAGCACTTACACTAAAATCAGGAACAAGACAAGGATGTCCACTCTCCTCATATTTATTCAATATAGTACTTGAAGTTCTAGCTAGGAGATTAAAGGGATAAAAATTGGAAAGGAAGAAGACAAACTGTCACTATTTGCAGATGACATGATAGTATACATAAATGACCCCAAAAATTCGACCAAGGAACACTTACAACTGATAAACACCTTCAGTAATGTGGCAGGATACAAGACTATCTCAAAAGTATCAGTATCTCTCGTGTATATATACAAATGACAAATGGGATGAGGAAAAAAAATCAGAGAAACATCACCCTTTACAATAGCCACAAATAATATAAAATACCTTGGGGTAACTATAACTAAGTAAGTGAAGGACCTGTATGAAAAGAACTTTAAGTCCCTGAAGAAAGAATTTGAAGAAGATATAAAAATGGAAAGATCTCCCATGCTCAAGGATAGGTATAATTAACATAGTAAAAATGGCAATCTTACCAAAAGCAATGTACAGATTCAATGCAATCCCCATCAAAATCCCAACACAATCCTTCACAGACCTGGAAAGAACAATACTCAACTTCATATGGAAAAACAAAAAAAACCCAGGATAACTAAAAGAATCCTGTACAATAAATCAACCTCTGTAGGCGTAATGATCCCTGACTTCAAGCTGTACTATAATAAAGCTACAGAAATAAAAACAGCTTGATACGGGCATAAAAACTGACATGTGGACCAATGGAATCAAATTGAAGACCCTGACATTAATCTACACACGTATGAACACTTAATTTTTGACAAAATTCAAAACTATACAGTTGAAAAAAGAAAACATCTTCAACAAATGGTGCTGGTATAACTGGATATCAACATGTAGAAGACTGCAAATAGATCCATATCAATCTCCATGTACAAAACTCAAGCCCAAGTGGACCAAAGACCTCAACATAAATCCAGTTACTCTGAATCTCACAGAAGATAAAGAAGGAAATAGCCTTGAATGCATTGACACAGGAGGCCACTTCCTAAATTGAACACCAGTAGCACAGACACTGAGAACAACAATTATTAAATGGGATCTCCTGAAACTGAGAAGCTTTTATAAGGCAAACGACACGGTCAATAAGACAAAAGGACAGCCTAGAGAATGGGAAAAGATCTTCATCAATCCCACATCTGACAGAGGGCTTATCTCCAAAATATATAAAGAATTCAAGACACTAGACATCCAAAATACCAAACAATCCAATTAAAAAATGGGCTGCAGAAGCAAACAGAGAATTCTCAAGAGAAGAATCACAAATGGCCAAAAGACATTTAAGGAATTGCTCAACATCCTTAGTCATCTGGGAACTGCAAATCAAAACACTGAGATACCAACTTACATCGCTCATCATGGCTAAAATAAATACACTGATAACAAATTTTGTTGGAGAGCATGTGAAGCAAGGGGAATACTTCTCCATTTTTTTGTGGGAGTGCAAACTTGTACAGACACTTTGAAAAACAGTATGGTGGTTTCTCAAAAATGGGGAGTCTATCTACATCAGGACACAGCATTATAACTCTTGGGTATATACCTAAGGAAAGCTCTATCATACTACAAGGACACGTGCTCAACTATGTCATAGCAGCATTGATCATAATACCAGAACCTGGAAACAAGCTAGGTGCCCTTCAACTGAAGAATGGATAAAGAAAATATGGTCCATATACACAATAGAATACTACTCAGCATGAAAAAAGTGACATCATGAAATTTGCAGGAAAATGGATGGAACTAGAAAATATCATCCTTACTGAAGTAACCCAGACTCAGAAGGATAAACATGGTATGTACTCATTTGTAAGTAGATAATAGATGAAAGGCAAAGGATAATCAGACTACAACCCACAGCTCCAAAGGGGCTTTCTACCAAGGAGAATCCCCAGAGGAACACATTGACTGTCCTCAGAAGGGAAAATTAATGAGATCTTCATGAGTAGACTGGGGGTGAGGGGATGCAATTGAGGGTAGGGGATGGGGAATGAGAATATAAGGGAATGGGATGGTCGAGCAGAAATAGGGATGAAGTGGAAGAGCAACAAAAAGTATACTATGACAGAGGGAGACATCATGAGGATATGGAGAAACTGGGTGCTAGGGAAGTTCCCAGAAATCCACAAGGATGACTCCACCTGAGACTACTAACAGTAGTGGAGGGGGTGCCTGAACTAGGTACCCTGGTAATCAGATTAGTGAATACCCTAACTGTCATCATAGATCCTTCATCCAGTAACTGATTGAAGCAAATCCAGAGATCCACAGCCAAGCTCCAGGAGTCCAGGCAAAGAGAAAAAAAGGGTTCTATGAGCAAGGGGCATCAAAATCATGATGGATAAACAAAGACAACTAAATCAAACTAGTAGGAACTCATGAACTGTGGACCAATAGCTGTGGAGCCTCCATGGGATTGGACTAGGACCCCTGCATAGGCAAGACAGTTATGTAGCTTGATCTGCTTAAGGAGGCCCCTGGCAGCGGGGTCAGGATCTATCTCTAGGGCATGAGTGGGCTTTTTGGAGTGTTTTGGTGTGCATGGTGAGACATCTTACCCAACCTTGGTGTAAGAAGAGGGGCTTGGACCTGCCTCAACTGAGTCTATCAGGCTCTGATGACTCCTCACGAGAGACCTTGTCTTGAAGGAGGTGAGAATGGGAGGGAGGAAAGCTGAGGATGGGAGAAGAAAGGGATGGGGATTTGTGGTTGGTATGTAAAATGAATAGAAATTTTCTTAATAATACAAAATTATAAGAAAAAGATGGGACTGCATGAGCCCTTTTTGCATCCATGCTGGGGTACTGGCATGCTTGATCTTATGTCACAATCCCCATGAGTTCATGTGTGTAACTGCACTCTGTTTCTCTGCAAACAACTGTTCTCTCTGGCTCAACAATCCTTCTATCCCCTCTTCCTTGATGATCTTTTAGTCTTAGGGATTTGTAGTAATATAAAATTGTAGAGTCCTAAAGTACTACCCAAGCTCCAATACATGGTCTCATACCCATGGGCACACAGTCAGGCCTATATGGAATCAGTGGCTATTAAACAACAACAACAAAACACATGAAATGTGGAGGAAAGCATTATGGAGGATATAGTAGAAGAACTGGAGGTGAGGGAATGGGGTGAGGATTTGTTCAAAACACTTTATATAGTATGTATGAACATTAAACAAAAAAGAAAGTACAGGGGCTAGACAAATAGTTATTGGTTAAGAGACTATTCTGCTCTTGCAAAGGGCACAGTGTTTGGTTCCTAATATACACATTAGGTGGCTTATGACTGTCTGTAACTGCAGTTTCAGGGAGATTCATCACCTCTGGTTTCTGTGGGCACCTGCATACATGTGCATGTACCTACACATAAACACATGAGCACAATATTTAAAATAATAAAAAAATCTTTTTATAAATTGAAAAGTTAAAAAAAGAGTTCCATACATTACATCTGTGGGATAAGTAGTGCTGGTACTATTTTTCATTCTTACTTTAAGGATGTGAAAACAGACACATTGGAAGAAGCTTTTGCAAATGATAAAGCCATTAAACCAAGAAATGGGGAGAGTACTTATAAATCTGAATTCTAACAGGGAAAAACTTGCTTAATATCAGGGGTCAGAAGAGTAACTCTCTGAGGCACCAGAGTTTTCTAGGACACGTTTACTTGCACTCTGCCCAAGTACTCCCACACTCATTAAAAGTTACTACAAACAGAATGTGTTCACAGGTCCAACAATTTCACCATGTAGCCTTTACAAGAGTGTAGGTTAACTGAGCTCATGAACTCATGTAGGGAAGGTATTACAAATAACTCTGATGTGTTACAACAGAGCCATTTCATCACCAGGAAATCAGAGGAAGAAAACAAGATAACAGGAGAAACAAATATTACAAAAAATTCCTCCCAAAATTATCCATTCCCCAAAATGACCTCCAATCAGAATGGATTAGATGAAATACCAAAGACCTCAAATGAATGATTATATGTATTGCCAACAAAATTAAAGAAGAAAATTAACCCCACAATAAATCACATGATGACACAAAGAAACAGTTAAATGAAAAGGAGAAAGTGAATTAAACAAACGTGAAAGAGGAATTCAGTGAAGATCATACTGAAATGCTTGAAGGGAACACATTCAGTGTAACAAAGGGCTTTGTGGAAAGGCTTGCCAATAAAATGTATCAGGGCAGACTTTGAGCTTGAAGACAAGATAGCAAAATTAGAACATTCCAATGAGTAGAGAGATGGACTGGGCTTTTACCCATGTGGGTGCTGGGAAGCAAACCAGGGTCCTCTGAAAAAGCAGCAAATGCTCTTAACTTCTGAACCATCCTTCCAGTGCCCCTCCCTTTCTCCCTTAATTTTGAGACAGAGTGGCATTATGTATCCCTCACTTGCCTGGAATTCACTATGTTGATCAATATAGCCTCAAACTTACAGAGCTTGCTTCTGCCTCCCAAGTGTTGGGATTAAAGGTATGCACTAACACTCCAGAGAGGGGCAAAATTCTCAAGGGGAAAAATTTAATCCAGAAAAGTTTGGGATTGAGCATTTCAACTTTTGAAACACACTAGGAAACTAGATTATTATAACAAACACAGAATTTTTTCAGTCATGATAAAGAAAGAAAAGAAAACATTCTATAAAAATGATATCAAATCCACTAAGCTACAACTACATAAGATTCTGGAAGGTACCCTTCACATTGAAGAGAAATGTAAATACATCCATTAGGTCACTGGCAAGAATAAACTATACATGAGTGAAAGTTAAGCAAGAGAGGAGCAGGATAACACCAAACAAAATCCAAAAAAGAATTACACAACTTTCAACAACAACTATTATTATTATTATTTTCAATTGCCCCATCTTGGACTAATCAGGGGCTGCAAAGATTGCTCAGTGTTTAAGAGCAATGGCTTCTTTTCCAGTGAACTCAGGTTCCATTTCCAGGATGCACATGGTAGCTCACAACCATCTGTAACTCCATTTCCAGGAGTTTCAATACTCTTTCTGTGCTCCATGGACATCAGAAGTGCAAGTGGTATATAGATGTACATGCAGGTATAACACCCACTCATATAAAATACAAGCATATAAAATTAAAAATTAAACACACATACTTATAAAAATGGATGCAAAGGCAGGAATAAGGCAAGGGAGAATGATGCATAGTGTACTTTCCAGGTGTTTCTGAAAACTTGAGTTCAGATATTGAGACCCCAGAATGCTGGGTAGGCTTGATAGCCCATCAACAATTCAACAACATAGAAAGTGGAGACTGGGCAAATTCAGGGCAAATTAGCCTGCACAAGCAAGTTCTCAGTTCAACTGATAGACTCTACCTCAGTGAATAAAGTGAAGAATGATGGATGGAATTTTCTGATGCCAACCTTGGGCATACAAATGAATGCCAACTTATATGCACATGCACCTCTCCCCACAAGCAACACAAACACATGTGAACAACACACACGCACGCACACACACACACACACACACACACACACACACACACACACACACACACACACACATCTTCCCAATAATGGGTATAGAAACAATCTTGCATCAAAGAAAAGTGTCTTGTCTTAAAAGACAGGCACTCCCTTAGAATGAAAGGACTGAAAAAAAAAAACGTTTCTCTCTGAGGAAATGGAGCTAAAAATAAGCAGACATCACTGTTTCAATTGATGACAGTTTTGGTCCTTGAGGAATGAAAACGTGGCTTGGCGATTAAGAGTGAGCACTTGCATTTTGCCTACAGGGGACATGGGTTGAGTTTTTAGAACATAAGTGCTAATAAATCTTTATTATAAATAACATGTATACTCAGGGGTTAAGAGTACTAGCTGCTCTTGCAGAGAACCTGGGTTCAATTACTAGCACCCACATGGAGGCACACACTCATCTGTAACTCCAAGTTCTTTAGGCAATACATGCATGTGGTGCACAGACATAAATGCAGATAAAACACCCATACACATGAAATAAAAATAAAGAAATAAATGTAAAAAAATATGAAAACTTGTGGTATGTTGGGAACACAGTCTAAGAAGGCTGTTTATGCTTCTAAGTGCCTAAATTTAGAAGTCACAGAGGCCTCAAATAAATGGCTTAATGATACAACTTATAGCACTGGAAAAAACATAACAAACACCAAATCAGTAGGAAAAATACAAAGAAAAAGAGAAATAGGTGGAAGGTAAAAGTTAATGAAATATAATTGGGGAAAAACAATACCAAGAATCAATGAACATCCAGTTCTTTGAATGGAAAATCATCATCAATAAACCCTTAGACAAAGCCACCAAAGGAAAGTGAAAATGCCCAAGGTGATAAACTAGACATGACATCATGAAGATCCAGGAACATAAAATCCAGATCATTATAAAGAAAATCTGAAAACCGTTATTTCATTAAATTCAAAATTTTAGAAAAGAAGTATTGTGGTGGTATTGTGTTCCCCAAAATATTGTGCACACTAATAAACTTATCTGGGGTCAGAGACAGAATAGCCACAATATTAAACATAGAGGATAGGCAGTGGTAGCACACACCTTTAATCCTAGCATTCCAGAGGCAGAAATCCATGTGTTCAAGGATACAGCCAACCATGGTGACTCACGCCTTTAATCCCAGAAAGAGAGCCTTTAATCCCAGGGAGTGATGGCAAAAACAGAAAGATATATAAGGCGTGGAAACCAGAAACTAGAAACATTTGGCTGGTTAAGCATTTGACTGTTAAGCTTCTAGCAGCAGTTCAGCTGAGATTCATTCAGATGAGGACTCAGAGGCTTCCAGTCTGAGGAAACAGAATCAGCTGAGGAATTGGCAAGGTGAGGTGGCTGTGGCTTTTTCTGCTTCTCTGATCTTTCAGAGTTCACCCCAATAACTGGCCTCAGGTTTGATTTTATTAATAAGTACCATTAATATTCATGCTACAAGGTATGGATTTCTAGAAACATTTATATACCATAATGAAAGCAGTAATTAGAGCAGATCAGAAACAAGAAGAGGTAATATTGAAAGAGCATTTTTTAAAAATCTCCTTACATAAAAAATGAGAGTATAAATGGAGTGGTTCCCTGGTGAATTTTACAAGATCCTCAAAATATATGATATCCTTGTATATCATATATTTGCATTATGATTCACAACACTACCAAAATTAAAGTTATGAAGTAGCAAGGAAAATAACTTTATGGTTAATGGTCTCCACAACATGAGGAACTGTATTGAAGGACGGCAGTATACGAAAGATTGAGAACCTCTGTCTTGAAGAGAATGTTTCAAATAGTACTTCCTGAGTCTTCTTCCAGAAATGGATGTATGAACTCATAGGAAATTGTTACACAGCACACTTGTAGCTGCAGGGATTCAGTCAATAGTCTGAGGTTCCCTGTTTCTTGAGAATAAGGGGGACATGGTGAGGCTGGTGATTAGCTCTTTCTCCCTGGAAGATGAATTATCCCAGAAGAAGGAAGGCAGCTAGAAGAGGAGCCTGGCAGTGCATTTATGGTGAAGCAGGAATTGAGTGAACAGTAGGGCAACTCCTGGACGTTTTTGAGAATCGAGACTGAAAACCTATATTCTTACAGTCACTGAAATGCTAGCATATTGGGGAGACTCTGGATATACAGACTGCAAGAGAGCATGGTTCAAAGCAGAAGTTGCAACTAGAGTCCTCCAAATGTCATAAACTTGACCCTGCACAACATATGGACACACTAGATCTGATTGTTCTCCAAGTAATGGATATTCTGTGGTCCTTTCTCTTCCAGATCAACTTTTTTGGTGACAGCTGCATATGAGATAAGACAAAGAATCAGGGAAAATATCAGACATTGGAAGAGACAGGAGCCCTTCATCCAGGAATTTGCTTAAATTCTCTCTCTATTTGAGAGTCAATAATTCCAGTACAATTAACTATCGCCTAAGACCTTTCTCCTTTCCCAGTTATTAACTAACAGTTTAATAATTTCACTAGAAATGCCACTTACAATAAAAGACATGTTGTAAACGCCTTCTTGCTCATCTTTCTACATTAACCATCCATCCTTGTTATCCCATCCAAAGCACTTCCACCATACACTCAAACTTATAGGAGAGAAAATGTAGGCTGAGGAGATTGCTCAGTGGGTAAGGCACTTGCTATGTTTGAAGTACAGAGGTAGATATAGACACAAATCCTGGGGTCTTCTTGATCATCTGGTGTGATATTTTATTTGTGCTGAAATGTGATATTTTATTTGTACGTTAATAAATAAAGTTTGCCTGGAGATCAGAGGTAATAGCCAGCCATTAACATAAAAGTCAGGCAGTGGTAGCACATGCCCTTAATCCGATTACATGGTAGGCAGGGTCTCTATGTGTTCAAGGAAACAGCCAAGTGCCTTTAATTCCAGTACCAAACATAGAGACCTGGAGGTCTGTACAGACAGGCAGTGACAAGGAAGTGAGGTAGTTGGACTAGGAGCCAATGAGAGGGCAGAACAGCAAAGCAATAAAAGCTTGGCTAGACAGGAATTAGTTCTCTTAGAAATCTACAGGAGTGTGGTGAGTTAAGGTTAGCTGGTGGCTCTATTTCCCTGGTCTCTAAGGCTTTCACCCCTATATTTGGTTCTGTGTTTCTTATTTAATAAGACCGTTTAGAAATTTGTCTACAATCTAGTCCTGCCTAAATGATAAAGTCCAGGTTCACTAAGAGACCTTTTCTTAAAAATTCATGAGAGAAATAGTGGAAGATACTGGACGCTAATAGCCTGGCTTTTACACATGCACACACAAGTGAATATACAAAATATGTACCTGCATCCACATCCCCCACCCTCTATATGAGGCAGGGAGAGTACCTCTATCTCAAAGCTGTTATTGAAAATTTAGTGACATGTAAACCAAGACAAGAGAAATACATGTCTCTGCAAGCTGGCTAGCAAAAGTGAAGCAAATTTTAATAGGCTGTTGTGCAGAAAGGGACATCAGCATAAAGAAAAAGAAAAATGGCTGCCATAATGATGTGTCACAAGACAGTGGATTCATTTATTTATATATTTACGTATTTGATTTTTTGAGACAGAATTTCTCCATGTAAAGATCCAGCTGTCCTAGAACATACTTTGTAGACCAGGCTGCCCTCGAACTCACAGAGATCTGCCTGCCTCTACTTCCTAAGTGCTGGCATTAAAGATGTTGGCCACCACTGCCTGGCAAGACATCAGTTTTTTAAGTCATGAGGAATTTTTAAATTTTTTTTTAAACTTTTTAAGATCATGAGGAATTCTTTTTCTCTTTTTCCCATAGGCTTACACTTGACAGAGTCACAGTCTTTGTATTTTCCTTGCATAATCCCATTACCAAATGCTCTATCCTATTGGTTCAGGATGCCAATTTTATCATATATATATTAGGGAACTTGAGAATGTCTCATTTTTGCTCCTGGGTCCAGTCACCTAGCAGACTGCCTAAAACTTTTCAACACTCAGAATTCTGAAACCAGCATGTGTTAAACTCCCAACTGTGACAGAAAGAGACTAACTGCCCTGCGATGCATTAAGTGCACCTCATACTGAAAAGTCGCCATAATGGTTCATTTTCCTGTTGATCAAGACACCGAAAACTTCAGACACAGGACTAGGAATATTTGAGCTGAATTAGCCTAAAACTCTCCTCCCTGAGATCTAGCTTTCACAGTATCAGAAGGTGCCTTGCAAGATGCCAAGAGAGGGAAACAACTAAGAGTCCTACATAGCTGTGATGCTTATGAACCACAACATAATCAGCATGGCAAAATATTCCAAGGGTACAATAGTGATATTCGTGTCTTTGTGGTAACCAACAGCTGTCTAAGTGGACTCAAGTCCTGCTTCACAGGAAGGAAATCATGTCTAGTACTGGAATCCTAGGCATTTACCCATGGCTAGTGAGGTCATGAGTCTTAGAGGAGAACGTACTGTGGTCACGTCACTAGAGCAACATATTTCCTAACTGCTTCTAAAACATATCCTTATACTAAGAGATTAGTGTAGGTATCACCCCACATCAAAGAAGGTACTCTTTGCAACAAACTGAGATGATTATAGAAAACTACAACTAGTCAAAATGCAGATATTAATTGATTGTGAGGTGCCCAGTCCTAATGGAGACATCTACAACATAACTTCTGCACTTCTGGTTCACAGAACCAAGAAATCTATTGTAAGATTTGTGTCTCCTAGAAATGATTGGAAAGTTATTTCCACTAGAAACCACAACAGTATGGCTACCTAAACAAGATGTAAACCATGGTAATATCCATAGACATATTAACATGAAAAGGGGCAATTTTGCAGAACCCCTCCCATAAATAAAAAAACTAGAGGTAATTAATGACTGGTGAGGAGGAATAATTAGTTTATTCCAGGGATTTGTTCCATAATTGGCTATTCAATGCAAAGTAATCAGCCCTTAAATCATACACACCCAGGCCACACTAAATGGACTCAGGTAGCTGTATTTATATATATATATATATATATATATATATATATATATATATATATATATATATATATATATATATAAAGTAAAAGAAGCCATCAACTTGAGAGAGTGAGAAGTGGAAATTGGAGAAAAGATGTAATTAAATTTCAACTAAAATATAAAAATTATAAAGAATTATTTGGAATCTCATTCATTCTCTGGAAAGGCTTCTACTTAACATTTAAGGTTTCACTTTATCCTGAAGCAGAGGAGAGCCTCTGATAATATTTGATAATATTTTTTTTCTCAAGACACTTTCTATCCTGGAATTCACTTTGTAGAGCAGCCTGATGTCAATTTCAGAGAACCAACTGCCTCTGCCTCCTGAGTGCTGGGATTAAAGGTGTGTGCCACTACCCACCCAGATTTTTTTAATGTGCATTGATAATATCATCTTTGTTTGAATATAAGACAGTCTTCATTTCACATTGTGATACTTGAACATGAGAGTTTTCATCTATAATCTAGTGATAGACTTTGTCTCATCCAAAAATCACCATTAAAGTTATAACATACCCTTTGATTGATGGCAGCCAAAGTTGGCACCTGTGTTCAGAACTTGTGGTGGTTTGAATAAGAATGGTCCATAGGCTTATATATTTGAATGTTTAGTCATCAGGGAGTAGACTACATGAGAAAGATTAGGATGTTTGGCTTTTTGGAGAAAGTGTGACCTTGTTGGAGGAAGTGTGTCACTGGTGGTGGGCTTTGAGGTTTCAAAAGCCTAAGCCAGGCCCAGTGTCTCTCTCTCTCTCTCTTCCTGCTGCCTGTGATCCAGTTGAAGAACTCTCAGCTACTTCTTCAGCACCACATCTGCCTGCATGCCACCATGTTCCCCACCATGATGAAAATAGATAATGATAAATAAACCTCTGAAAAAGTAAGCAAGACCCAAATAAATGCTTTCTCTTATAAGAATTGCTTTGGTTGTGGTGTCTCTTCACAGTAATGGAACACTCACTAAGACAGAACCTTCACCACAGAGACATATCATTTCATAAGAATGCTTGGATCCTTTTACTGTATCATTTTTACTTCCTCAATATGCTTCTAACTGTAACACTTCCATGATAATTTTTAATAATACTTTTTAACACAAAACTTTTATTGTTTACTTACTATTATAAGACCAGGACATCAGGGAAAAAAGAACAAAAGAATAAAATGTCATGAACCTATAACTTCGGAGAATTCTCTGAATAATGCCTAGAATATTTCTTTATCATTTTTAGGAAAAATTGTAAAAAAATATTTAATGGTAGTCTTTGTTGTATTTATATACAAATGTACTTCTCTGTCAATACCTTTGCTTTGAACTGTATATTCAACAGTCAAATACCATTCTACAGTATGCATAAGTTGTATTATTTTCTATGGAGTTCCAGAGCTTAAAGGACTAAATAGTATTGCACCTTTGTGCTTTATTTAATTGTCTACTCTGGATGTACTTAAAAGTCATGACTCTTGTCCTACTGAAACCTACTTATATATCTAATTCTACACACCTGTTCTTGGTAAGTACATTGCTTTTAGTCACACATTTGGTTAGAGCAACAAGAAAAGAGACTAAAACAGGTAGAGGGTGTCTTCTGAATCCATGAAAATAAACTAAAAAAGTACAGCAGCACAGATCTATGAATAAAGTACACCTTCTCATGCAACACTCTGAAAGAGCAAACTTTACTGAACACAACTCCTGTGCACACAGCACATTACAAGTGAACAAAGATGTCAGTCTCCATTAACTGCATCATAAGCAGATTTTATACATCATTGGGTATTTAGAAACAATGATATTCTTACATCCCCTACATAACATTATCAAGATCAAACAGTGCTCCGACCGGTTCTGCTGTTCACCTCTCAGGTGTTCAAATGCAAACCAAAACATTATGTGGGCACATCCCCAAATTACTATTAGACCCTTAGCAAAACTATTGCCTCAAGAGAAAGACATCTCTGGTTCCAAGACATAATGGTAAAAGTTGACCTGAAAATAATAGTGTTAGTTTTTAACAATGTAACCACAACCCCCGTGTTAACAACATGCACACAGATAATCTTCAAGCTGGACTTGTAGTTGTATCCTTCCAGACATGGAAAGGAATGAGAAAAACTGGGTCTGTAGAGACAGCTCAGCAGCAAGAGCACTGACTACTCTTCCAGAGTACCTGGGTTTGAATCCAGTACCCACATAGCTGCTCAAAACCATCTGTTACTCCTATTCCCCAGATCCAACTCCAACTTCTGGCCTTTTGGGCACCAGGCATGAATACTGTGCACAGACATACATACAGTCAAAACATCTATACACATAAAATATTTTTAAAAAGAGAGCAAAACCATATTTTAGCCTAGAGATGCCTCCCAAGGCTAACAAGAAGCCAAGAAAAGGGAGATTGGAAAAGGTGCAGGGAGGCCATTTCTTTAAGTGTATGGCTGTCAGGGTCATAAGTATTTTGTTGAACACTGGTCATCCTTTGAGAAGAATTCATTTTATCATCA